CATCAGCTGTGGCATTTGTGTTGGGGATTCCCTGTATTGTCAGTGTGTGTTTGTCAAGTTTTGTTGCAACATAGGAAAGCTCCGTCTCAGAGCCGCTTGGGGAAACTTTGGCTCAACGGTTAACTTACAGCCATGCACTTACGTGTAAAGAGAATGTTACTGCAATCCAAAGTCCGTGCTGGAGTGTGAGGAGAAGTGGCGGTTAAATGAAAATTCCATTTGATTGACAGGCCTTGGCATTTTAGATTGTCTGTGTTGGGAATTTCCTATATTGTTTGTCTGTGAGTTTTTGTCTGATGAGGTTTTGTACCCATGTCTAAAGATTATCGTGATACCACTCACCTGGGTGTGAGGAAAAGTGGTTGTAGGTACCACTTGTCTGGAATGCGAGGAAAATTAGTGGGTGATGGTCCCTGGTTTACTCGGAGCTATTGGTTCTTTCAAAATTCAGAGCTCCAATATAGAGTTAAATGTTGAGTCTCAAGTTCTCTGCTTGAGATAAACTCACTGTTTACGGTATACAAAATAATCTGTGTGTATGATTTTTGATAGATTAGGTCCTCCCATCCCCGCTGGAACCCCTGCCGCTGGCCAGCGTGAGGCACCAGGCAGGGCCACCAGGGAGTGGACCTGGCAGGAGGGAGGACTAGCGCAGGCCGCCCAGCGGCGCACAGCAAGGGACGAGGAGCGCCTGCTGCCATCTTGGCACCACGGAGGGGCTGGGGAGGCCGCCTGAACTGACTCTTCAGTCCCACACCCCGTAAATTATGACTCGGGGTTCAGAACGGTCTCTCCCAGCAGCGAACTCAATTTGGGCCAGAAGGAACCCATATCTGGGGGGGAGAATTTGTCGCAATATCAGACGGGGGCTTCAATGTGCAGGAACAACCGACAGGGTCCTTGGGACGGTCAAGAGGAGTGGGTGAAAAAGCCGCCCCAGACCTTTTTAAAGGAGGAGGACCTGGAAAGGAACATTGCCGAAAAGTTGCAAAACCCTCCACACAGCAAGAAGTCCCCGGGGGAGAAAGTGTTTTCTTTAGGTGCAGGACTCAGATGGCGAAGGAGGGGGCCGGAGCCCCCCGCCTCCGAACATCCCCACAGGAGCCCTGGAAAAACTGACAGTGGGGATTCGACTGGTGCCAACCTGCATGGGCAGAAGTGGTCTGGTTGGCGGGGCCCTTTGCCCTGGCACAGCCCCAACCCCAGCACCAGCCGTGCCGGCCGGACAGGGAGTGGTGGGGGACAGTAGCAGTGAGGCAGGAGGCAAGCAGCTGAGGAACGTGAATGTTCTCGGTCACGTTTACATGGCAGGATCCTGGGACTGTGTTGCCTCCCGGGTTTAAAGCGCCTCTCCCGCTCTGTTTGACAGAAGCTTAGCAGGAGACTTGCAAAACCCACAATCGGACAGATTTGTAAACTTGTATCAGCTTATCTGGGGTTTCCAGGAACGGCGTCTGGATCCCAGACCTTGGACTGATGGCGAAGCCATGCACAGAGGAAAACAAGGAATGAGCCTTAGAGTCTTGGTACGGATGCTGAGAGGCACCCTCAGCCAGTGGCACATCAAAGCCACTGAGCGGCACTGTGCGTGGACGGCCCCTCTGCCGCCGGACAGCAACGGCAACCGTGAGCTGTGCCTGATCTCCATCCCGCCACCCTTTGCCAGCAAAGAGAATGAGCCTTTACAACATGACTGTTCAGAGGTTCTGGAGGCTGTATTCTAGGAGGGTGGATCTGTCAGGTCCGCCGATGCCAGAGCAAGACTGGGATCTTTCTCAATGACAGGAGCGCTTCATGGTCGAGGGACCAGGTGTGTGGCGATCACGGCAGCGGCACCGCCACCCGGGACTTAGCCCAGAGCTGAGCTGCAGTTCTTGAGAGGGAAAAGGTAAACATTCCTACGGACTCTAAACATGCTTTTATGATTGTGCATGCTCACAGTGCCAACTGAAAGAAAAGGCGTCCCCTGACGGCAGGAAATAAGATGATTAAGTAGGCCACTGCAACACTGGCCTCGGTACAGGCCACGGCTGAGCCCACGCAGGTGGCCAGCGTGGCAAAAAGCAACCGGGACACTGGCAGAGTGCTGAGGAGGAACAGCCACAGCTGGTCTCACTGCAAGTCTTGCGACAGCTGGGCCCAACGACTAAATTGTCACCCCTATGTGAACTCAAAGTTAGGAGTCTCCAGATCCCCTAAAAATTCTCAGGGGCAGTTTAAGAAAGTGGTAGAATTAAACAAACAAACAAAAAACCTGAACAGGGAGGGACAGGAGGTTTGTTCTTGGGTCATAGACAAGAGAGAATGGAGAAGACCAAGGAAAGAACAGTCTTTCAAAATGGCAAAATGAGCGGGCGAGACTCTACTCTGACTATACACCGTACGGGAACAGACCCAAATAAGCGTCTTATTTCCAAGTCATGACTTCACTGTAGGCACTCCTTTTATGTACTTACACTATTTATAAATCTATTCTTTCTCCAAAAAGCTAAAATCAACTTAAGAAAGTATATACCCTCTTTTTATGTGAAACCATGGTCAAGGGTTGCAATAGATCTAATTAATATTTAACATGCCCACTTAACTGAAACGGGCATGACTATTCCAGTGTCATTTCTAAATCTTTCCAATTGACTTCCACATCTGGAAAAGTATTCTTTCACATATATTCAAAATCACATATCTATATACTTAGAATGAACTTGTTTAAACACAGACTTTTATCAGTTATCATTTTTGTAAATTGCGAGAATTATATCCATGAGCTTAAATTGTAGTAAGTTTGCAGTACTATAATTTTAACAGTAACACGATTATTTTACGCCTTTTCTTTGAAGAAAAAAGAAAGGAATCTGCTCATCAGGTGTCCAGCAAAAAGTACTTACGTCTGTCAAAATTTAAATTCGTATAATATAAGACCCAAAAATATGCATGAAACTACTAGAAGAAAACATAGGGGAAATGCTTCAGGACATTGTTCTGGGAAAGGATTTTATGAAGAACACCTCAAAAGCACAGGCAACAAAAACAAGAACGGACAAATGGGATTATATCAAACTAAAAAGGTTCAGCACAGCAGAGGAAACAATCAACGGAGTGAAGAAACCACCAGCAGAATGGAAGAATATATTTGCAAACTATACATCTAACAGGAGATTACTATACAGAATATAAAGAGAATTCAAACAATTTGACAGCAAAAAATAAATAAATAAATAATCTGATTTTTAAATGGGCAAATGAGCTTAAAAGACATCTCTCAGAAGAAGACATATAAATGGCCAACAGGTACATTAAAAAACGCTCAACATCACTAATCATCAAGGAAATGCAAATCAAAGCCACAATGAAACATATCATCCCACTTAGAAGGGCTATTATCAAAAAGACAAAAAATAAATCCTGATGAGAATACAAAGGAAGGGGAACTCACACACTGTTGGTGGGAATGTAAATCAGTACAGCCGTTATGGAAAGCAGGATGGAGGTTCCTCAAAAAACTACAAATAGAACTACTATATGATCCAGCAGTCCCACTACTGGGTAGGTATATATCCAAAAAAAAAAAAAAGGAAATCAGCACATCAAAGACAGGTCTGTACTCCCATGTTCATGCAGCACTATTCACAACAGCGAAGATACGGAATCAACCTAAGTGTCCATCAACAAATGAATGGTTAAAAAAAAAGTGATGTATTTACACAACGGAATACTACTCAGCTCACAAAAAAGAACAAAATCCTGTCATTCATAGCAACATGGATGAGTTTGGAGGACATTATGTTAAGTGAAGTAAGCCAAGCACAGAAAGACAAATACCACACGTTCTCACTTATATGTGGAAGCTTAAAAAAAATTATCTGATAAAAGTAGAGAATAGAATAATGATTACTAGAGGCTCGGAAAACAGGGAGGGGAAAAGCAGGGTGGGGATAGCCAGAGGTTGGTTAACAGATATAAAATGATAGCTACACAGGAGGAATCATGTTCTAGTGTTCCATAACACTGTAGGGTGACTATAATTAACAATAATTTATTGTCTATTTTCAAATAGCTAGAAGGGTAGATTTTGAGTGTTCCCAACACAAAGAAATAATAAATGTTTGGGGTGATGGATATGCTAATTACCCTGATTTGATCATTATACAGTGCATACATGTATCAAAAATCACAGTGTACTACACAAATATGTACAATTATACCCTCACAAAACCCTGGAATAATAAATAAAAAAAAAAAATATGTACAATATGTGTCAATTAAAAATAAAAGCAAAAATATTATTGACAAAAAAAATTTAAATTTGTATTGTTAACCATATATAATTCAGCCTCAAAATGGTGAATCTATTATAATATAAATTTTAAAAGATTTTTCTATTTACATACATCACATGTAAAAACTACTTCATTTTGGTCATACAAAATATTTAAGGAACTATAGAAGACTATGTTTTAAAATACAAATGGAATAAATTCATCTAGCAGTCTCCCATATCTTTTTAAGAAAGTAAAGCTATAGATAAAGATAAAATATTGACAATTCAAATTCTGTATGTAAATGTTTCAGCTATTACTGTGACAAAGAGAACTGATCACTTATTTACAGCTGTTACACTTCTAAGTAAACAAAAATAATAACAGTGTATTCAACAAAGATTTTATATTGTCAAGTTTTTTAATGAGCAAATTTTTAATGTTTTCAAATATATATTCCATAGATAAATTAAAAGAATGTAAAAATATGTTGAAACTTTAAACATCCAGTCCCTATAAAGTTTCAATAAAAGGGCTTCTTGATCACCCATCTGCTTGGTAATTTTAAAAGATTCTTCTATACATTTTGCACATACCCCCTTTTTTTCTCATAGTTGATCAAGAGAAAATAATTATAGCTACTCATGTGTAGTAGTAGTAGTGGCAGTTGCAGCAGCAGCAAGAGTAGTAGTAATTGTAATACTCCAATTTTAAATTTTTTCAAAAAAATTATGTGGTTCCAACCTGGTCTCCAAAGTCCTCTGGGAATTTCCACAAAACCACAGGATCTGTAAATAATTGACACACATCATTAAACAGAGGCAAAAGAACACATTTAAAGCAACAGTCCTGGTTACATACTCTTAAAATTGTCAAAGCTAAATTATAATTTTTAAATTTCTCTTTAAACATTTAAAGTTGATGAGGTTCACTTCTTTTCCTTGATCAAATTAATATATTGATCTTTTTGTAAGGGTTTTAATGACTTTTGGAATAGAACAAATGAAATTAATAACTTAGGTCATCAAAAACCATTACTGTATTTCTTTTAGCAACTCACTTATTTACGTATCTTAAAGATTCTGAACTTAGAATTTTCAATTTTAACTATGCTTACAAAAATATTGGTTTCAATTTGAAAAGAAAAATATAAATGTGGTAAACATGTAATCAAATACATTGTAGCCCTCAGGGACTAGACTAAAATATACACCTTAAATTTCCATTTAAAATCCCAAATAAGAATTTATAAAAATTGTAATAATATTTGCTTCATATCAGTTTTAAAAATCCCAGACTTTGCAATAATAGATAAGTTGGTAGGTAGGTATAAGGCAGCTTATTCAAAATACAATTGATATTTGCAGGATATTTCAGAGAAATTTTTCTAATATATCTAGTAATTTGGTAATTTATATAAATCAATATTGTTTTATAAATATTTGCATCAGCTTTTCATTTTCTTTATTTCTCACATTTCTATTTAGCATAATAAAGTGAAGTTTTGTTGTAATAATCACTGATAAATATTTTGGTCATATACTTATTTTTTAATTTTGTCAACAACTTCTGAATACTTTAAATGTCGCTTAAAAGGATAGTGTATGATAGATTCTCACTTCTGACAAAAACCTTTGAAAGCCCAAGATAAAATATAAATAAGAAGCATCACCTGTATGACAGGCTTCAAATTCCACTCCAAGTAAAAGGACTTGGTGGACCAAAGATCCATCACTCTATGTACTCAATCAATGGAAGTTTACAGCTTATTGCTACTACTCCATATTGCTTTTTTTTTTTTCCATATTGCTTTTTAAGAAATATAATTTAGGCCAGGCGCAGTGGCTCACGCCTGTAATCCTAGCACTCTGGGAGGCCGAGGCGGGTGGATTGCTCAAGGTCAGGAGCTCGAGACCAGCCTGAGCAAGAGCGAGATCCCGTCTCTACTAAAAAATAGAAAGAAATGGCCTGGACAACTAAAAATATACAGAGAGAAAAAATTAGCCGGGCATGGTGGCACATTCCTGTAGTCCCAGCTACTCGGGAGGCTGAGGCAGGAGGATCGCTTGAGACCAGGAGTTTGAGGTTGCTGTGCGCTAGGATGACGCCATGACACTCACTCTAGCCCGGGCAACAAAGCGAAACTGTCTCAAAAAAAAAAAAAAAAAAAAAGAAATATAATTTAAGGGTATATAATTTCAAAAGTTTTAATTCCAAACCTCAATAAATGTCTAGCAACATTTTTAGCATGAGCTAGTTCCTCTTGTGTTTTTATTTAACACAATATTTCTCAAATATTTTAACTTAAAAAGAAAAAATGCCTTCTATAAACTTTTTACTTATTAAGGAGTAAAAAGTTTCCATATAATATAAATAAATCATTTGAAACATCTTATATGAAAATAATGTATTACAAATTTACAAAGGTAATATTAAATGATTATGTCCTCGTGTAAAACAAAACATATCCATTTCTAAAATAAATGTGAAATGCATTATTCATCACCTTAAAATACTCAAACATTAATGTCCTGTGGATAACTATGTTCCCAACTGGAAAAAATATACATATGTGGCAATTTTACCAAAATGGTAGCTGCTAAGATCTAAATCTCATAAAACAAAAGTGAATGATGGACTCTCCATCAAATATGAAACAAAAGTTATTACCCAGATAAATGAATACAATAACTAATAGCCATATAAACAAATCATCATGCAGAAACGTAGAAAAGTCCTTTCTCATCAACAATGGAATTAAGGGGTTTCAATGTGGATATTTCAAACATCCCTTCCAAGCAACCTCCACTTTGCAGTTCTCGTCTGACAAGTTTCTTACACATTGCTGTGCAGCCCTTACAGCCTGCCGTATTGTCTGCGGCATTCACCTAAGCATGTTTTCCTGTCTTATTTTTCCTCATTGCTTACTCTACCGTTTTTTTTCTGTATACCCTGCTTTTTCACAGAGGGAAAAACAAGTGAGTACAAGAAAACAGCATCTACTGGTTTCATCACAAAGTGGAAAATATCCTTTTTCTTTTCATTAAATGGATTTTATCCTTCAGCACTCAAAAATTTATTATACTCATGTGCATCCATATTTTGAAATGGATTAACTGGGTTCCTGCCTATGAGATTAGATTTGGACCACATCTGACACATCTCTGTAGCAACTTTTCAGAAGTCCTGCAAAGGAAGAAACAAAAGGGCTCTGAAAAAAATAATCCGATTCGAAAACTTTATGCACAAAGACTGAATTTTCTGTTCCCTGAGGATTACTTTCCAGATACTCGATCTGCTCTGGCAATGTTAGGTCAATTTTATGCTGATTTTATGGGTGAAAGGATGAGAACTGCTGGTGGGAATCATCGCTGCCCGTGATGACTGACAGACACTGCGTTTCTCTTCTTGCTACCGTCTGCTAGTGGTTCAAAAGAGACTCCACACCTCAAATTTTAAAAAAAAAACTTTGCTGCCAACAACCTAGAAACCCAGTAACAATAAAAGAATATATAACTTCATTTTGACACAAATACAGTTAATTTCTTATTTTAATAAGAAATGTGACAGTGTAATAAGAAAAATATACAAATTTTTATTAAATCGGTATATTTGGACGGTGAATATTTAATGTATGATGTGTGTGCCACCATTACAAGGGTTCTAGATCCATGGAGGCTTTTTTAAAACATAAAGTAAGACAAATTCAGCAGTATTTTATTTTCTTTCCCAATCAGATATTTCCCATTTTCTGGTCCTCAATTAAAAACAAAAGTTAAAATTACTTAGAATACTAGTGTGATTCTACCTCACAACGAAATTACCCAGGAAAAAGTTTCTAATTTTCATAAGTGAGTAAATTTACTTAATTCTGTAGAATTCAACGATTAAATATACAATATCTTTAAAATTATACATTTGTAAAATTGCAATTCGGAGACTACTTTTGAAAAGGTAGAATGTACACTGTTAGTGTGTTGCATGATTATAGCTTTCAGTACTTGATTTACCTGCATTGTAGAATCAGAACTTTATGTATGAGGAAATTAAAGTCAAGACAATGAGGAGTTTTTCTTAGCCATATAGCTAGCTAATGTCAGAGCCTGGAGCTTTCTTAATTGAGATGTAAAGAACACTTATCTTAAATAATTTCCAATAATTCATACATTTCTGTGGCACATTTAACTTAAGTTCAATTTATTTCATTGGAAAATCGATGTGGTACTAAGGAAACAGGAAAAGTCCCTGCCCTTCGATGGCCTACAGCATCCATGGAAAGAAATCCAGCTGTTGTCCAAAGCGTTGTTTTAAGCAAGGTTATCAGGTAGAACATTTCAACTCAACTTGAAAAGTCACTGGCTTGATAATGCCAAAAAACATTACTAATGAAGGAATGAGGTCTTTTGAACATAAATGAGCAAAAAGCATTAACGAAAATGTGTGATTTTTGTTGTTTCACCTGTAGAGATACAACAGTGGACAAAGCAGAGCCCTCACCACTCACAGAAAAGAGGAGCATCAAAACGTATAAGGAAATTCAATGCATTTTACGATCCTAACTGGATAGGATGCTGCAGGAGCACATAATAAGGAAGTCTAACCTAATTTAGAGAGTCACTGCAGGACTTCAGAAGGAAAGGACAGGTAAACTGACACTTAGGTCAGACAAGTAAAGGATGATGTGTGCTATGAAGTGGGCAGCGGAAAATGTATAGAGTGGAGAACCAAGATGCACGAAGTCTTGGAGGTTAAAGGAAAGCAGAACACATTTCAGAAACTGAAAAAAATCTAATATATTTAGAATGTTGATTGGGAGGGCGACAACGTCAAGAGACAGAGCCGGATTGGCGAGGAAAGCCACCGACGCAGACAGTGGCATAGATCACGTGAGAAAGAACCACGAAAGGTACGGAGAACGCAGCTGGAGTGTGTACTGTCATGGAGTCAAGGGAAGAGAGTGCGTCTAAAAGAAAGCCTCAAAAAATGCTGCAAAACACTGAAAAGTGACGACTGAAGAACTGCACCTACATTTAAAGACAAAAAGCCGCAGTCGGATGGGCTTCAATTGAAAGGCAGGAAGAAGGACGCGATTTAAGATCATGCAGTGAGCGCGAGGAAAGAGAGACTGCGTATGGGGGCCATTTATTTAAGAAAGGCTAAAAGGCAGAAGAAAGTAAAGGCAGGTAGAAAGGTTCAGCTTGATACATTTGTTGTTGTTGTTTTTTAATTTCGGACTGGCACAGACTTGAACACGTTTAAAGGCCGACAGGAAGTAATGAGCTGGCAGAGCGCCGGAGGAAAAAGAGCGTGAGATCCCCTAGAACACGGCCGGGGCTGGAATCCCGATCAGGACGGTGAGATGAGCCTCAGGCAGAAGCCGGAGTACGTCTGCCATCGTTACAGGAAAAAGAGAAGAGAAAGTCATAAATCTAAGTGAATTTGTTGTGGTACAAAGAGACGAGTTTTATGTAAAAGTTGCTAATTTTTTCTGTTTGGTAGGAAGCTCTCTGAAGCAAAGCTCTCTGCTACGCGAGGCTGCGGAGGTTTGAAGGAGGCCTGAATAGCTGTCTCGGGCAACGCTGAGTACGCAACTTAGGAACATGTCCACCCTGGCATTTAATGGCAACGAAGTGGGATTTCCTCATCATCACCCAACAGCCCAGACAGAAAAGACAACTGGTGGATTCGGTCAGGGTCAAGGTTTCCGTCAGTCACGTGTGATGGAAAGAGAATTTGAACAGAATAGTTATAGATAGGAATTACTTACCTAAAGCTAATCAAGTGATTT